CGCCTGGCTCTGTGCTGTCGTAGAGCGCAAAGGAGTATGCACTGCTGCCTGTGGGGGGGAAGACGTGGGACAAGGGGGGAAGGGTGGTTAGTGGCATGGCGTAGCAAGAATCGAGGATCTGCAGTAGGTTGCCACGCTGTGTGCCGTCGTAGAGCACACAGGATTATGTGGTTCCACCTTTTGGCACGACTTAGAAGTAGGGCTGCAGTGTAAGAAGTGATTGTCTTGTCTTGACCAGGATCCACATTCCACACTGACAAATGACTGCTTTTGAGTCGACTCAAATGCAGATTTTGGGCCCGCAGGAGCTGCAGGTGGTGAGCGGCGCCCTCTTCCCCTACGTGCTGCCATTGCGGGCAGTGCCTCGCAGCGACCATGTGGAGCCGTTCCCTGAGGGGCTGTTCGGCTGCACGTACGAGGCGCACTGCAGGTGGGTGCCACCGTGGGAAGCCACCGCGCTCCACCGCATTTTACCGAGATGCACCGCTCTGTGCGCCACAAGGAAGGTTAGTGTGGAGCGACCACTTGGTGGTGCCTTAGCAACCAATCAGTAGTGGCTTGGCGACCAATCAGTAGTGACTTGGCGACCAATCAGTAGTGACTTGGCGACCAATCAGTAATGACTTGGCGACCAATCAGTAGTGCCTTAGCGACCAATCAGTAGTGCCTTTGCGACCAATCAGTAGTGCCTTAGCGACCAATCTCTGGTGCCTTAGCGACCGATCAGTGGTGCCTTAGCGACCACTTGGAGCCGTTCCCTGAGGGGCTGTTCGGCCGCACGTACGGCACACTGCAGGTGGGTAACGTGATATTCTTGCCGCATTCCACCATGTTCCACCGCATTACACCGTGATGCACCGATGTGCATGCATCCGGGACCGGAAGTGCTTCGCAGCGACCATGTGGAGCCGTTCCCTGAGGGGCTGTTCGGCCGCACGTACTAGGCGCACTGCAGGTGGGTGTGTGCCACCATGGGATGCCACCGCGTTCCACCACGTTCCACCTTGATGCACCGCTCTGTGTGCATCAATGGGTCACAGGTTGGTGGGTGAACAGGTTTGTGGGTGGGCGGAGTGCGGGTAGTTGTATGCTGAAAATCTCAACCTCACCCGACTTTATTCACCCTAATCTCCAACCCAACAATACAAGGTTTCAAAATATTAGCTTTGGCACTTTCCAACCAGCCCATTTCTCCATGTGACGACTTTTGAGGCGCCTCAGAAGTTTTCTCCATGTGTCTTTTCTCTTCCGTTGCACATCTGCGCTCAGATTTCTTAGTTGAATCAATTTCACTCTCCGTGTCTCCCTTTCACTCCCCAGCCGCCACTGCAGCAGCCGCCCCTTGAGCAGCCGCCACTGGAGCAGCCGCCCCTGCAGCAGCCGCCACTGCAGCAGCCGCCTCTGAAGCAGCCGCCCCTGCAGCAGCCGCCCCTGGACCAGCCGCCACTGCAGCACCCGCCCCTGAAGCAGCCTCCCTTGCAGCAGCCGCCCCTGGAGCAGCCGCCCCTGAAGCAGCCGCCCCTGGAGCAGCCCCCTCTGCAGCAGCCGCCCCTGGAGCAGCCGCCTCTGCAGTAGCCGCCCCTGGAGCAGCCGCCCCTGCAGCAGCCGCCCCTGGAGGAGCCGCCCCTGCACCAGCCGCCCCTAGAGCAGCCACCCCTACAGCAGCCGCCCTTCGAGCAGCCGCCCCTACAACAGCCGCCCCTGGAGTAGCCGCCACTGCAGCAGCCGCCCCTGGAGCAGCCACCCCTGCAGCAGCCGCCCCTGGAGCAGCGGCCCCTGCAGCAGTCGCCCCTAGAGCAGCCGCCCCTGGAGAAGCCGCCCCTGCAGCAGCCGCCCCTCGAGCAGCCACCCCTGCAGCAGCCGCCCCTACAAGTGGCGCCCGTGGAGCAGCCGCCCCTACAGCTGCCGCAAAGCCCTCGCCCTACAGTGGTAGCGGCCTCGCCGTTGGCACCGTCGTACGCCTGCCCTTCTCGCCACTGGTAAGCACTGCCCTGCCCGTACTGCTGTTACTACTGCTCTTGCTGCTACTGCTCTTTCTACTGCTACTACTGCTCCTGGCGTGGCTAGATGCAGCTCCAGCGCCGTCCGCGTGAGTCCTTCACCCCCCAACAGCTTCGTGAGTGGTACGCTAGTTGGGGTTATAGGGGTGGCCGCGCTACGACTACTGCTATAGCTACTGCTGCTGCTACTGTGGCTACCACTGCTCCTGCTGCTCTTGGCGGTGGCCAGATGCAGCTCCAGGGACGTCCGCATGAGTCCCTCACGCCCCAGCAGCTTCGTGAGTGGTACGCTACTTGGGGTTGTCGGGGTGGCCGTAGTGGGAGTCGTCCTGGGGTGAGTAGTTCGGCAGCTACTTGTAGTGGCCAGGTGCAGCTGCAGCGTCGTCCGTGCGCGGTCCTTTCGCCCCAGCAGCTTCGTGAGTGGTACGCTCAGCGTGGTGGGTCACGGGGTACTGCTCGCTGTCCGTACGTCATTCGCACTGGTGCTCGGACTGGTCAGCCTTGCGGGACGTTTGGTCACACAGAGTTCCGCTGCTTCGCCCGTCTGAGCGACGCCTGGCATACGGAGTTTGGCGACGCGGCTGAGCTCCCCGACTGGGTGGAGCTGCTTAGGCTGCGGGTAGATATCTATACACTTGACTATGATGCTATCCTCACTGCCATGTATGCATTGCCTACTAGTGATGAGGGTGACTGTTACCTGTGTGTTCCGCCTGACCCGGGCATTGAGGCTGCTGCTCTAGGTGCTGGTGAGGCTGCTGCTCTAGGTGCTAGTGCGTCTACTGCCCCAGATGCTCGTGAGTCTGCTCTCTCAAGTACCACATCGGCGCAGGCCTTCCACACCTTCACCCTTGACTCGGGTGCTTCCCGCTCCTTCTTTCGAGACCGCACCACGCTTACGCCCCTTAGTCGGCCAGTTGCGGTCTCCCTGGCGGACCCCTCTGGGGGTCCTATTCTTGCCCACTTCTCCACTGTCTTACCGTGTCCGGCGGCCCCCTCTGGCACCCTGTCTGGTCTCTACTTCCCCTCGTTCTCTACGAACTTGGTGAGTGGTGCTGATCTGCAGGATGGGGGGGTTGACCAGTTCACTCCTGCGAGTCAGCGGGTGACCCACTGTACGTGTGCTCGGACGGGCCGACACTTGGCCACGTTTACCCGTCAGCCGGGGTCGAGCCTGTACACACTAACTACGGAGTCTCCTCCGGTTGCTGAGTCTCTTCAGGTAGCTGCGTCGGGTCAGGTGTTTGCTGCCGCGTCCAGGTCTGGTCCTGAGTCTGCTCCCTGCTCGTGTCATCTCCTGTCCCACCAGACTCTCCTCTGGCACCACCGCCTTGGTCACCCCTCCCTGCCTCGTCTTCGAGGCATGGCCTCCCGTTACCTTGTCTCTGGTCTCCCCCGGTCCCTCCCTCTCCTCCCTCCGGGTCCTGCCCCTACCTGCGTTCCCTGCGTCGAAGGGCGGCAGCGCGCCGCCCCTCACTCCTCCAAGTTTCCTCCGATAGAGGCTCCACTGCAGACTCTTCACATGGACGTGTGGGGCCCCGCCCGCGTCCGTGGCTAGGGTCACGAGCGTTACTTCCTGTTGGTGGTTGACGACTACTCACGTTACACCACGGTCTTCCCCTTACGCAGAAAGGGTGACGTCACTGAGGTGTTGATCGACTGGATCCGCGCGGCTCGTCTCCAGCTCAGAGAGAGTTCCGGCTCGGACTTTCCTGTTCTGTGTCTGCACTCTGACAGAGGCGGGGAGTTTCCTCTGCCCGTCTGGGAGCCTTCTGTCGTGCACAGGGCATCCGCCAAACTTGAGGGGACCGGAAGTGCTTCGCAGCGACCATGTGGAGCCGTTCCCTGAGGGGCTATTCGACCGCACGTACTAGGCGCACTGTAGGTGGGTGTGTGCCACCATGGGATGCCAGCGCGTTCCACCACGTTCCACCTTGATGCATTGCTCTGTGTGCATCGATGGGTCACAAGTTGGTGGGTGAACAGGTTTGTGGGTGGGCGGAGTGCGGGTAGTTGTATGCTGAAAATCTCAACCTCACTCGACTTTATTCACCCTGAATCTCCAACCCGGCAATACAAGGTTTCAAAATATTAGCTTTAGCACTTTCCAACCAGCCCATTTCTCCATGTGACGACTTTTGAGGCGCCTCAGAAGTTTTCTCCATGTGTCTTTTCTCTTCCGTTGCACATCTGCGCTTAGATTTCTTAGTTGAAGCAATTTCACTCTCCGTGTCTCCCTTTCACTCCCCATCCGCAATCAGTTTTGCAGATGCATACCCGTCTTTCTCCTCTCCCCATTCGCCCTCAGTTTCGAGGGCGCATACCCCAAGTGGGACCTGGTTTACGCACCCATGCTTCTTTGGCTGCTGGTGCTGCTGGTGGCGCTGCTGCTTTCAACAATGATTGCAGTGATGGCATGGAAGAAAAGGCATATGGAGGAGGGCGTTAGGGAGATGGAGCTGTGCACAGCAGTGCTGGAGAAAGCAGAGCACAGCAAGAGCGTCATTGTGGCTAACCTGTCTCACGAGCTGTGCACACCAATCATCGGCATGATAGGTGGGAGCTCACATTCGTTCTCTTCCGTTCGCCTTCGTTCGCCTTCGTGCAGTTGGCAGATTGGCACCTGTTTGTCTGCCTGCTTTCTAGGTGACTATTGAATCGACTCGGGAGTCCTCAGAATGATATGTTCGTGCGTTTGTTTGCTTTCACAATTTTTGCTTGTTGCATTTGCAGAGACTCGCGCAATGTGCGCTTCGGCGCAACATTGTACGCGATTGGCACTCCTTGTCTGTCTGCTTTCTTGCCCCCTTCGTTGTCCACTCTAGGAAGTGTGTGTTCATGGCCTTGCCTCCTGTTTTTTCCAAGCTAGTTCCCAATGACAACAGCCCCCATGCTTTCGCTCTCTGAAAACTTGCTTCACAGGGATGATAGAGATGCTGCTAGAGTCGCCACTGGAGGAGTGGCAGGCGACGGACCTAAGGGATGTGAAGGAGTGCGTGCATGTGTCTTCGGATTGTCTCTGCTCCATGCCGCCTACAAGAACCTTTTCTTTGTCTCTCTTTCAAACCTCACCTCATAGGGATGATAGAGATGCTGCTAGAGTCGCCACTGGAGGAGTGGCAGGCATCGGACCTAAGGGACGCGGGGGAGTGTGCGCGGGAGATGGTTGACCTCATCAACCGCGTGCTCGACCTCGCCAAACTGCAGGCCGGCCCCCTGCAGCTCGAGGGTCTGCCGCTCTGCCTGCCTCGCGTGGCTCAGCATGCCGTCGCCCTCGCTGCTCAAGACCCGTGCGCCAGGGGGTTGCAAGGTGCGAGAGACACTTTATGGATAGGGGTTGAAAGGTATGTGTTGTTTTGGCCCAAGGGATTGAGAGGTATGAAAGTTTTTTGCACAAAGGTACGAGTGTTATCCCACAAAGCTACGACTTATATTGTTTGATGTGGACCTTCAAATGTTGTAATATCATTTCTACCATTCATAACATGGAAGTCATGATGTATTTAGCATAACATATTCTCTATGTCGTCTCTGAGATGTAGTGTCTTGCCATGTGGATCCAAGCTTGCCGGATGTGCTGATGGGCGATCCAACGCGACTGGCTCAAGTCGTGGGCGAAATCACGTGTGAGTGGAGGTGACGGTAAGTGGAGGCAACATGTGAATGGATGTGACATGTGAATGGAGGAGAGGGTCGTTACTCGTACCACCAGGTAGCGGGTCAGGAAGGTAGCGGGAGGTAGGGAGTGGACTCATCAAAAGCCACGTCCCGAGGGTGTTATGGGCGTATTCACGGGCTACTCAATAAGCCCTTTTATTCTAGTGGTGTGATGGCTGGGATTCTGACATGGTATTAGAGCGAAAGTTTCGGGTTCGAATCTCATGTGGCACATGCTGACGTGGCGCCCATGTGTCGCTGTCGCTGTGCTGTGTCCTGGTGCATTCTAGTGAAGGGGGTGTCAGAAGACCTGCACTGGGAATCCTCGATTGATCTTAGGGAAGGGTTACAGGTTCATAGCCTGAAGGGTTATGGGCGCACTCATGCACTACTTAACAAGCCCTGTTACCCTAGTAGTATAGTGGCTTAGATTCTGACAGCAAGTTCCCCCTGTGGCAGGTTTTACTCACTTGCTCACTTCTTCCTGCTCCCATTTACCTCTCCACGTCCGTACGTCTTGCAGCGCATGCAGCAAGCAACACTCTAGTGGGCGACGTCACCTTCCATGTGTGGTGTGCCGCCCCTCCTCTCCAGCAAGGCCCTCATGCAACCTCTTCTCAACCCACCACCCCTTGCCTCACCACCTCTCGTCCCACCACCCCTCCTCCAACCACCTCTCGTCCCACCACCCCTTGCCTCACCACCTCTCGTCCCACCACCCCTCCTCCAACCACCTCTCGTCCCACCACCCCTTGCCTCACCACCTCTCGTCCCACCACCCCTCCTCCAACCACCTCTCGTCCCACCACCCCTTGCCTCACCACCTCTCGTCCCACCACCCCTCCTCCAACCACCTCTCGTCCCACCACCCCTTGCCTCACCACCTCTCGTCCCACCACCCCTCCTCCAACCACCTCTCGTCCCACCACCCCTTGCCTCACCACCTCTCGTCCCACCACCCCTCCTCCAACCACCTCTCGTCCCACCACCCCTTGCCTCACCACCTCTCGTCCCACCACCCCTCCTCCAACCACCTCTCGTCCCACCACCCCTTGCCTCACCACCTCTCGTCCCACCATCCCTCCTCCAACCACCTCTCGTCCCACCACCCCCCAATCGTCCTCCTCTCGTCCTGCCACCCCTCGTTTCCAATGCTCCAGCACACCACTTTCATCCCTTCCTCCTAAACCCACCTCGTGGCAACCTCCCCCCGCCCTCAAAATATCTCAAGCCCCTCAAAACTCTCGCACCCATCTCACCCCACCAGCCTCACCAGCCCCTCAAACTCCTCGCACCCCTCCATTTTCTCCAGCCCCTGCTGCCCTGCACTCTTCTCGCTCCCCCCCAGTCGCTCGCACCCCTCCATTATCTCCAGCCCCTGCGGCTCTGCACGCCCCCACAGCCTGGCAGCAGCAGGCAGCGTGTGTGCGGAGCTTTCCCCCAGACACCCGCCTGGTGTGCACCCTTCAGCACCTCTCAGCACCCTTGGGAAGTCTCTCCGCCCAAGCAGAAATTCAGGGTGAAAGGCTGTTGGCAGGGTTGGGAGGGCTGGGAGGGGCGGGATGGCTGGCAGCGTTGGGCCTGTCAAAAGAGTGGGGAGGGGGGAGAGGTGGAAGGGAAACGTGTGTGGGTGAGCAGCAAAACACAGGTGTGGAGAGTGGTGGAGATGGGCAGGTGGAGAGTGGTGAGGGAGGGCGGCTAGAGAGGGAGGTGACAGCGTGGGTGGAGGGGGTGTGCCGGGCGAGAGGTGCAGAGGCATCGTGTGTGGGTGAGCGGCAAAACACAGGTGTTGGGAGTGGTGAGGGAGGGCGGCTAGAGAGGGAGGTGGCTGCATGGCTGGAAGGGGCGTGCAAGGCGAGAGGGGAGGGCGAGTGGATGGTGGTGATGGCGTGTGAGGATACGGGCGGTGGTATTCCACCCGAGGAGATGCGGTGGGTGCTGGATCCATATGGGGGCGACCCTCACCACTCCACATGCTCCCCTGCTGCTGCTGATGATGCGGCTGATGATACTGATGGTGTTAATGGTGCTGATAGTGGTGGTAAGCGTAGCAATAGCAAGAAGCAACGAAGAGTCGCGGTGAGTGAAGCCATACCTGAGTGTATACGTGCATATGTGCGTGCATGATTGTATGTATGTACATGTGTACGTGCGTGCATGAGTGTATGTATATACATGTGTATGTGTGTGCATGAGTGTATGTATATACGTGTGTATGTGCATGCGTGCGTGTGTCACTTTGTGGGTGTGTGTGCGTACGTCTGTGTGTGTGCGCCTGTGTGCATGTGTGTGCGTACATGTGTCAGAATATGTTGTTTGTGTAGCCTGCAGTGGGGCACTCAATAGTGAGTACAGCCCCTTAGGGTTTGCTATTTGTATCCTGCTTCTTGCTAGTTCACCCATTCCTTCTCAATTCCATTCCTGCACACAATCCTAGCTCGTACTTGGCGCCTCCTCGCTTTAGCCCTACTGTGGCCTAGGCTACTAAGCCTAGGCCGTGCTCCTACTCTCTTTGACATGGTATCAGAGGGCAGCATGTCTTCCACCTTCCTGTGTATGGGCCCACCACCCGCTTCCGCTGCCCTACCGTCCGCCGCGCGCCCCGTGGTGCGCGGCAGCGAAACCCTAATTTCTGCCCGCCGCGCGCTCGGGGCGCCTGGCGGGTTTCCCTTCAGTGGCGCCCGTCGTGGTGCCCTTGGGGGGGCCTCAGCGGTCCCCTCTCGTCGAAGCGCCCGTCGAGGCGCTCTTGGGGACCCGCGCGGCCTCCCCTCCCGTCGCCCGTCGAGGCGACCTCGGGGACCCGCGCGGCCTCCCCTCCCGTCGCCCGTCGTGGCGACCACGGGGGCCGTGCGCGGCGCCCTCCCCGTCGCCCGTCGAGGCGACTTTGGGGGCCGTGCACGGCCCTCCCCGTCGCCCGTCGTGGCGACTTCGGGGGGCCCGCGCAGCGCCCTCCTCGTCGCCCGTCGAGGCGACTCTGGAGGCCCGTCGCGGCGCCCTCTCTGGTGCCCGTCGCGGCGCCCTCTCTGGTGCCCGTCGTGGCGCCCGGGGGGGGGCCGCGCGGCTCCCTTCTCATCGCCCCTCGGGGACGCCCCTCCCTCCTCCTCACTTTCACCTGCAGCGGCCGCCCCTGGAGCCGCCCATCCCTGCAGCAGCAGCCCATGGAGCCGCCCACCACTGCAGCAGCAGCCCTTGGAGCCGCCCACCACTGCAGAGGCAGCCCATGGAGCCGACCACCAATGCAGCAGCAGCCCCTGGAGCCGCCCACAGCTTGCAGCAGCCGTCCCAGGACCCCTGCAGCAGCCCGCGGCCCGCCCCTGCAGTTGCTCGTGATGTCGTACCTGCACCCCATCCCCCCCCCCCCCCCCCCCCCGTGCTGCCCATTCTCCCGTTCTGCCGTGTGTTCCGCGGTGGTTGGGGGGTGGGGTGGCGAGCATGGGGAGTGGAGCTATGGGGGTGATGTGGGAGTGGAGCTAGGGGTGAAACAGGGGGTGTGTGTAGGGGGGTGTGGGACTGTTTGGGGAGGTTGAGTGGAGGCTGCTGTCTTGTCGTCCGCAGCACCTGTAGTCCGGGGTGCACTGTCCTGGTAGCCCAGAGAGCCTGCTACGCCTGTCGCCCGTGGGTCCGTTGCTCCTGTAGCTCCTCGTAGCCCGTGAGCCAGTTACTCCAGTAGTCCGGGGCGCTGTCCCGGTAGCCACTGTGCCAGCCGCTCCTATTGCCCGTGTGTCTGCAGCTTCAGCCGTCGTCTCCCATCTTCTCTCCTCTCACAGTCCCTCCTCCTCACTTGCTCGCTGTGACTACCACTAGCTTTGCTCATAATTGTGAACTTTAAATTGTTGCTTCTTGTAATTGTGCTCAGAATGTGTGGTGACATTGTGATCCACCCTGAGCTTGTTCTGCTTTGCTTACTGTGCTGATTACACCCCACTTTGGCTATGGGGGTGTGTCAAAATATGTTGTTTGTGTAGCCTGCAGTGGGGCACTCAATAGTGAGTACAGCCCCTTAGGGTTTGCTATTTGTATCCTGCTGCTTGCTAGTTCACCCATTCCTTCTCAATTCCATTCCTGCACACAATCCTTGCTCGTACTTGGCGCCTCCTCGCTTTAGTCCTACTGTGGCCTAGGCTACTAAGTCTAGGCCGTGCTCCTACTCTCTTTGACAACATGCAGCGTGCGAGCGTGCGCGCGCGCGTGTGCGTGTGTGTGTGTGTGTGTATGTGTGTGTGTGTGTGTGTGTATGAGTGTGTGTGTATGTGTGTATATGTGTGTGTATGTGTATATATGTGTGTGTGTATGTGTGTGTGTGTATGTGTGTGTGTATGTGTGTGTGTGTGTGTGTGCACGCACGCACGCGAGCGCATGTGTGCACGTGCGTGTGTGCATGTGTGTGTGTGCGCACGTGCGTGTGCGTATGCGTGCGTGCGTGCGTGCGTGTGTGCGTGCGTGTGTGGTGCATGCATGATTTTCTAGTGATCCATTGCGAGGATGATTCCGCTTGAAAATCGGTAATCGTGCGCAAGCCTTTTAGGATGAACTCTTAGCAAGATGCAGAAGAGAATAATCAACCATTCAATTGTCAGAGTATGTACAAGTGCATGAGTGCATGCATGTGACTACATTGGATGCTTGTGTGCATTGGATTCACTTTCCTTCCCTTGTGTGTTTTTTTAGAATTCCCTTGTGTGTTTTTTAGCGGCCTCCCTCACGGCCCCTAGTGGCCCCGTCGCGCCGTCCTCACGGCCCCGTCGCGCCGCCCTCGCGGCCCTCTTCGCACCGCCCTCCCGGCCCCTTTCCGCGGCCCCGTAGCCGCCCTTTCAGCGGCCCCGTAGCCGCCCTTTCAGCGGCCCCGTTGCCGCCCTTTCTGCCGCCCCGTCGCCGCCCTTTCAGCGGCCCCGTCGCCGCCCTTCTGCGGCCCCGTCACCGCCCTTCCACGGCCTCGCCGCCCGCCCTTGCAGCGGCCCCGTCGCCGCCCTTCCGCGGCCCCGACGCCGCCCTTCCGCGGCCCCGTCGCCGCCCTTCCGCGGCCCCGACGCCGCCCTTCTGCGGCCCCGTTGCCGCCCTCCAGCGGCCCCGTCGCCGCCCTTCCGCGGCCCCGTCGCCGCCCTTTCAGCGGCCCCGTCGCCGCCCGCCCTTTCAGCGGCCCCGTCGCCGCCCGCCCTTTCAGCCGCCCCGTCGCCGCCCTTCCGCGGCCCCGTCACCACCCTTTCAGCGGCCCCGTTGCCGCCCTTCCGCGGCCCCGTCGCCGCCCTTCAGCGGCCCCGTCGCCGCCCTTCCGCGGCCCCGTCGCCGTACTTTCAGCGGCCAATCGCCGCCCCTTCAGCAGCCCGTCGCCGCCCTTTCAGCGACCCCATCGCCGCCCTTCCGCGGCCCCGTCGCCGCTCAGCCGCTCAGCGCCCGAGCCGCCGAGCAGCAAAGCAGCTGAGCCGCCCAGCCGCCGAGCAGCCGAGCCGCCGGGCAGCCGAGCCGCCGAGCAGCCGAGCCGCCCGACCGCCGAGCCGCCCTGCAGCCGAGCTGCCCGACCGCCGGGCTGCCCAGCAGCCGAGCCGCCGAGCCACCGAGCCGCACCGCAGCCGAGGCGCTGCCACCTGTCGGCCCGCCCGGGACCGCCCCACTTGCCAGGTAAGAGCAGCGCCTCTACCACTGCACTGCCCTGCCTCACTGTACTCACTGCCTGTCTACTGCTGTCATGGCCTCCCCTAGTGTTCTCACCTTTGACGCTGAGGGTCGGGCAGTGGACTTTGAGGTCTGGGTAGATGATCTACAGCTTTTCCTACAGTGCGATAGGGCAGACGGCCTCTCCCTGTTTGACCTCACTTCTGGTGCCTCTCCTGCCCCTACTGCTGATGCTGACGCCACTGTTCGCTCACACTGGGCCACGCGTGATGCTGCTACTCGCCTTGCTGTGCGCCGCCACTTACCGACCACTGAGCGTGCACACTTTAGCCAGTACAAGAGTGCTCAGACCTTGTACGACGCTGTAGTTGCACGCTACTCTTCCCCTGCCACTGCTGCACTGAGCCGCCTCATGCTACCGTACCTCTTCCCTGACCTTGCTGCCTTTCCCACAGTCGCTGACCTCATTACGCACCTCCGCACTAGTGACACTTGCTACCGCGCTGCGCTTCCTGCTGAGTTCTACGCCAAGAACCCCCCCCCCATGTACATCACCCTCTACTACATAGTCACCCGACTCCCTGACTCTCTCCGCGTAGTCAGGGACCACTTCCTCTCTGTTTGCCCCACCACTCTCACCGTTGACGTCCTCGAGAAGGCCCTCCTAGCGATAGAGAAGAGTATAGTCACTGTAGGAGCCTCTCGTGGTGAGCCTCGCACCCCCGTCTTTGAGGGGTGTTCTCCCTCCCCCCTCTTTCCCTCTGTTGCCTCTGCTGCTGCGGCCGACCTCGTTGGTTTCAAGTTGGTCGGCGCTGCTTCTGCGCCGAACCGGAGATGCCGCACCGGCAAAGGGCAAGGGGGGCAAGGGCGCTGGAGGGGCTGGCGGGGGCGGTGGAGGTGGTGGTGGAGGCAGTGGAGGGAGTGGGGGTGGTGGTGGGAGTGGTGCTGGGGGTGGCGGCGGCGGCGGCAGCAGTGGAGGCGGCGGAGGCGGCCGTGGTGGCAGAGGGAGCGGAGGCGGCGGAGGTGGCGGAGGAGGCGGAGGTGGAGGAGGCGGCGGAGGCGGCGGCGGCGGCGGCGGCGGTGGTGGAGAGGGTCGCGACTCTGCGCAGAGGAGTGGCTCAGGTGGTGGTCCGTGCCAGCAGCAGCGGAGTGGTGTGACCCTGTCCCCTCAGCAGCTTTGTGAGTGGTACACTGCGGGTCAGCGCGGTGGGGGTTTTGGTCCCTGCACTTAGGTCCTCCGTACCGGCGACCAAGCTGGTGAGCAGTGCGGGGGCCCGCACTCCACCCAGCGGTGCTTTGGTCGCCTGACGGACGCGTGGCGTCACCAGTTCCCTGAGGCGTCAGAGATCCCTCGCTGGGGAGATCTGTCTAGGGCGGGGGTTGGCGTCTTTGATCTTGACTATGATGCTATCCTTGCTGCCATGTATTCTGTGACTACTAGTGTTGAGGGTGACTGTTACCTGTGTGCACCGCCTGACCCAGGCATCGAGGCCACTGTTCTAGGTGCTGGTGAGGCTGCAGCTCTTGGTGCTAGTACGTCTGCTGCCCCAGGTGCCAGTGCGTATGCTGCCCCAGGTGCCAGTGCGTCTGCTGCCCCAGGTGCTGGTGAGTCTGCTCTCTCAGGTACTACGTCGGCTCAGGCCTTCCACACCTTCACCCTTGACTCGGGTGCGTCCTGCTCCTTCTTTCAAGACCGCACAACTCTTACGCCGCTCAGTCGGCCGGTTGCAGTCTCCCTGGAAGAACCCTCTGGGGGTCCTGCCCTTGCTAGCTTCTCCACTATCTTACCGTGCCCGGCAGCCCCCTCTGGCACCCTGTCAGGTCTCTACCTCCCCTCGTTCTCTACGAACTTGGTGAGTGGAGCGGACCTACAGGATATGGGGGTTGACCAGTTCACTCTTGCGAGTCAGCGAGTGACCCACTGCACGTGTGCTTGGACAGGCCGACACTTGGCCACGTTCACCCGTCGGCCAGGGTCGAGCTTGTACACCCTTACTACTGAGTCTCCTCCGGCTGCTGAGTCGAGCCAGGTAGCTGCGTCGAGTCAGGTGTTTGCTGCAGCGTTCAGGTCTGGTCCTGAGTCTGCTCCCTGCTCGTGTTGTATCCTGTCCCACCAGACTCTCCTCTGGCACCACCGCCTTGGTCACCCCTCCCTGCCTCGTCTCCGAGGCATGGCCTCCCGTGTCCTTGTCTCTGGTTTCTTAGTCTCTCCCTCCCCTACCTCCGGGGCCTGGCCCTACCTGCGTCCCCTGCGTCTAGGGGCGACAGCGCGCCGCCCCTCACTCCTCCGAGTTTCCTCCGACAGAGGCTCTGCTACAGACCCTCCATATGGACGTGTGGGGCCCCGCCCGCGCCTGTGGACAGGGGCACGAGCGTTACTTCCTGTTGGTGGTTGACAACTACTCGCGTTACACCACAGTCTTCCCCTTGCGTAGCAAGGGTGATGTCACTGAAGTGTTGATCGACTGGATCCGCGCAACTCGTCTCCAGCTCAGAGAGAGTTCGGCTCGGAATTTCCTGTTCTGTGTCTGCACTCGGACAGAGGTGGGGAGTTTTCCTCTGCCCGTCTGGGAGCCTTCTGACGTGCACAGGGCATCCGCTAGACCTTCACGCTTCCGGCCTCTCCACAGCAAAATGGGATTGCTGAGCGCCGCATTGGCATGGTCATGGACGTCGCTCGTACGTCCATGATGCATGCGGCTGCCCCCCATTTTCTGTGGCCGTTTGCGGTTCAGTACGCCGCGCATCAGCTCAACCTTCAGCCCCGGGTCTCCTTGCCAGAGACCTCCCCCACCTTGCGGTGGACTAGGAAGGTTGGCAATGCGTCTGCGTTTCGGGTCTGGGGATCTCGGGCGTTTGTCCGCGACTTGTCTGCGGACAAGCTGTCCCCCCGTGCTGTTCCCTGCGTCTTCCTTGGCTTCCCCCCTAACGCGCCTGGGTGGCTGTTTTACCACCCCACCTCGCGTCGTGTTCTATCCTCCCAAGACGTCACCTTTGACGAGTCGGTGCCTTACTACCGTCTCTTCCCCTACCGCACTGCGCCCCTCCCAACGCCGCCGCTCTTCCTTGCACCAGGTCCTCCCCCGGTAGACCCCCTCCCCCCTCACGGTCCTGCCCCGTCAGGTGTGTCCCACGTAGACGCAGTCGAGCCTGTCGAGGTAGCTGTTGACTCTGGTGCTGCTAGAGGTGCTGAGCCTGCGGGTGCCGGGTCTGGGGGTGCTGAGCATGGGAGTGCTGAGACTGGGGGTGCTGAGCCTGGGGGTGCTGAGTCTGGGGGTGCTACGCCTGGAGGTGCTGAGCGTGGGGGTGCTGAACTTGGGGGTGCTGGGTCTGCTCGTGTGGCCGTCGGCGGTGCTTCGTCGAGGCGGGAGCCGCTCTCTCCACAGGAGCCGCGCGAGTGGTTCGCCCGCCGCTGGAGACGTGCTGCTGAGTCTGGGGGTGCTGCTGGAGTTACTGGAGTTGGTCTTGCTGGAGCTACTGTCGATGCTGGTGCTGCTGGAGGTGGAGCTGCTAGGGGTGTTGGCGCTGGTGTTTCTACTGGTGCTGGTGCGTCTGGGGGTGCTGCTGAGGCAGCCGGTGCTGACGGTCCTATTGGAGTTGGTGCTGCTGGAGCTGGAGCTGCTGGGGGTGTTGGCGCTGGCGGTGGTGCTGGCGCTGGTGCTCCTGAGGGTACTGGAGTTGGCGCTGTTGGAGCTGGGGGTGCTGCTGGCACTGGTGCTGCAGCTGGGGGTACTGGTGTCGTCCTTGCTGGTTCTGGAGGCGTTGCGCGGCCGAGGCCGTACTTCGTTCCGCTCCTGGAGCAGGTTCTTGGTCTCCCGCCCTCTACTGGTCCTGCTCCTCCCTTAGAGTGTCAACAGCCTGTCCAGTCGCAGTCACAGTTACAGCCCGCCTCCCCTCTACCTGCTCCTTCTCCCTACACTGGTCCTACTGGAGGTCTTGCTGAGCGCCGTAAGCCTGCGTCTCGTCCTGCGTCGCCTGTTCGTACTGCTCGCACTAGTGGTCGTACTGCACGTCCGCGTCCTCCTGCGGTCCCCGGCACACACCAGATCGCACTGCGTCCTTCCAATGCTCCTCTGCGTGTCCCGCTGCAGTCTCCTCCAGAGTCCTCTCTTCCTTGCCTTGCTGACCCGGAGTCTGACTCCCTTCATGCTGCTAGTCCTTTGGTCACGCGCCTTCTTGCTACTGTCGTCACTGACCCTTCCTTTGAGTCCACTCCTGCGTCTGCTCTTGTTGCTGAGCTTGTCGACTTCGCTGCTCGTTGTCATCTAGACTACGCTGCTAGTCTTGTTGCTGAGTCTAAGTCTGTCTGTCCTCCGTCCGTCGGGGGTGAGTGTGCTCTTAGCACGGACGTCCTTGAGGACAGGCAGGAGGAGTTCCAGTGCTTTGCGGCTGCTTTGCCTCATCTCGTGTCCACGCTGATTGCCCCTGAGGGAGACCCGGATGCACCAGACATCCCGACTCCTGGATCGTACGCTGAGGCGATCAAGGGTCCCTACTCCTCTCAGTGGCAGTCGGCCATGGATGCAGAGATGGCTTCCTGGAAGTCCACAGGCACCTACGTCGACGAGGTTCCCCCACCTTGGGCGAACATCGTCAGTGGCATGTGGATTTTCAGGGTGAAGCGGCCGCCGGGTTCTCCGCCTGTCTTCAAGGCGCGTTACGTGGCTCGAGGCTTCAGTCAGCGGCAGGGAGTTGACTACTTTCAGACCTTCTCTCCCACCCCGAAGATGACCACTCTTCAGGTGCTGCTGCACATAGCCGCTCAGCGCGACTACGAGCTTCACTCTCTTGCGCGACTTCAGCACAGCTTTCTTGCAGGGCAGCCTGCACGAGGAGATCTGGCTGCGCCACCCACCTGGCTTCACTGGGTTGTTTCCTCCTAGTACCCAGTGGAGCCTCCAACGGCCAGTCTACGGTCTCCGCCAGGCGCCTCGTGAGTGGTACGACACACTGAGGACTACACTTGCGGCTCTTGGGTTTGCTCCTTCTACTGCCGACCCGTCGCTGTTTTTGCGCACCGACACCTCTTTGCCGCCGTTCTACATCCTCGTGTACGTCGACGACTTGGTCTTTGCCACTGCTGACACTGCTGGACTCGCCTACGTGAAGTCCGAGCTGCAGAAGAGACACACGTGCACAGACCTGGGTGAACTGCGCAGCTACCTTGGCTTGCAGATCACGCGGGACAGAGCACAGCGCACCATTACCCTGACTCAGTCACACATGGTGCAGCAGGTCCTTCAGCGCTTTGGCTTCACGTACTCCTCGCCTCAGGCCACTCCTCTATTTACTCACCACTCGCTCTCAGCTCTGCCTTCGGATGAGTCCGTAGAGTCGAGTGCCTTGTACCCAGAGCTTGTTGGCTGCCTCATGTACGTGATGACCTGCACACGACCTGACCTTGCCTACCCTCTTAGCATCTTGGCACGCTATGTTGCTCCTAGGAGACACAGACCAGAGCACATGGCTGCAGCGAAGAGGGTGTTGCGCTACGTGTGCAGTACGTCGGGCATGGGGCTAGTGCTTGGAGGGCGACGTCGAGTAGTCCTCACAGGTCACGCTGACGCTTCTTTGGCTGCCGACTAAGCTCTGCAGCGGTTGTCACAGGGTTACACCTTCAGCCTTGGCTCCGGCTCTGTTTCGTGGCGGTCGACCCGCTCGTCTTCTGTTCTCAGCTCCAGCTGTGAAGCTGAGATCTACGCAGGGGCCATGGCTGCACAGGAGCTACGCTGGCTCACCTACCTGCTGACTGACATAGGAGAGCCGCCTCGTTCTCCTCCAGTTCTGTACGTGGACAACAAGGCCATGCTGGCCTTGTGTCGGGAGCACAGGCTGGAGCACAGAACGAAGCACATTGCTCTCCGCTAACTTCCTGGCTCGTGAGCTGCAGCAGCGTGGTCAGCTCCGCCTCACCTACGTGGCCTCTGAGGCCAACACTGCTGATGTCTTCACCAAGGCCCTTCCGCCTTGTGATCATCAGCGCTTCTGTACTTTGCTAGGTCTTGTGCCTACGTGGCCTCACTTGCTCACTTCTTGATCTTGCTTGTACTGTACTCTTTCTATACCTGCACTTGCTTGTTTACCTTTATATATATGATCCTGCATGTGAACTGGCCTTGTGGCCTTACTCTTGTGCTCGGACTGTGTGGCGACTTTGTGATCCACCCTGAGCTTGCTTTGCTTTGCTTGACTGCTCTTGTGACCACTTGTTCTCCCCCACTTTGCCTATGGGGGTGTGTCATAACATTATAGCTTATACATTTGTGTAGGCTGTAGTGGGGTAGCCCACGAGGGGTACAACCCAATTAGGGTTAGTACTTGTACCCAACTCTTTCATAGTTCAATCATCCATTCTCACTTCTCGTCAACTACCCGTGATATAATTTAGTGCCTTTGAGTGACGGCGGGTGATACCCATGTGATGGTTCGTGACAGATTTGGCGGAAGATGTGACCGTTCATGATAGATTTTGCGGAAAATGTGACTGCTCGTGATAACTAAGAAATGTTTTGTGACGGCCCGTATAAAAACCCAAATTTTTTTCCTAGACATAGCTAGACATGCACTTTGGCCGTTTTACCTATTTCCAAATAGATGATTGGCGAAGGGTAACCCTTTCGCCAATCATTTCAACAACGTGAACAGTTGACAAGGAGTTCTGTAACCACATCACTATCAGTGAAGTCTGACGATCGACAGATGACGGCTGACGACAGACGCGAAATAGTCTGAATTTGTTTAGGTGCACGAATAATTAGTGGTATAGTTGACGTTTTCTCTGTGTGTATAAATATTCTTTTGCAATTGGTTCCTGGTAATGTTGTATTAGTGGAATATGAGAATCAGGAGGTCGTTCTTAGGGGTGTTTTTTTTTTCAGAACTTGAGAAAGGACGTCTTAAGGTTCCTTTTGGGTGTAGTTAAAGCTCTTTATTTGCAGCTATAGGCCATGCAATTGGCCCAAAACCATTGCCCAAAATGATGTTCATAACGAGGTTTTTTTCTTGTGTGGTTGATTTATATACATATATATATATTTTGGCTCCTCTAGTATTCCTCTACTAGTATCAATCATTTCTGAAAGTTGTGAAAAGATTGTTATTTTGGTCATTCTTAGCTACCTTAAGTATTTCAGTAGTACATACAAAGTCATTATCTCGCAAACATAAAGACAAAGTGGTTTTTTTTGCATGGTTCATTGTTGAGTTTAGAAGTTTTTTTAGAGCTTAGATGGCTTGTACATCCCCCATCTAATGTCAAACCATTGGTGAACCGTGAATAATGAGTGATAATAGTTGACTGTTTCCTTGGGCGTTTGTAGCACTTCTTCGATGTATTTGTCAAATATTATATATGCTATATGTGTTTAGGCTGTAGTGGGGTAGCCAATATGGGGTACAGCCCACATTAGGGTTTCATATTTGTACCCAATTCTTTCATAGTTCAATCATTCCTGCTGCTAGATTCTAACATGGTTTCAGTGTCAAACTTATATGCTATAGTCTGTGTAGGCTGTAGTGGGGTAGACTCTATGGGGTACAACATTTCTAGGTTTTCCTACTTGTACCCACCTGCTTGCTAGTTCATTCATTCTTCATTCTTCACATGGTATAGAGCAGGTTCCCTCGTGGGAACGCTTCTCAGGGCCCACCACTGAACTCGATCTTTTTTTTCCTGCCCGAGGCGCGCCCCGTAGGCCGCCCTCACGTCGCACCCTCCTAGAGGCCCCTCGCGCCACCCTTAGCGGCCCCATCGCCACCCCTTACGGCCCCGTCGCCGTCCTTTGCGGCCCCGTCGTCGCCCCTCTAGGCCCCTCACGGCCCCTTCACGGCCCCGTCGCCGCCCCTCTAGGCCCCGTCCCCGCCACTCTAGGCCCCTCACGGCCCCTTCCCGGCCCCGTCGCCGCCCCTCTAGGCCCCGTCGCTGCCCCTCTAGGCCCCTCGCGGCCCCTTCGCGGCCCCGTCGCCGCCCCTCTAGGCCCCGTCGCCACCCCTCTAGGCCCCTCGCGGCCCATTCACGGCCCCGTCGCCGCCCCTAGCAGCCCCGTTGCCACCCCTTGCGGCCACGTCGCCGCCCTTCGCGGCCCCGTCGCGGCCTCTAGCGGCCCCGTCGCCGCCCTTCGCGGCCCCGTCGCCGCCTCTACCGGCCCCGTCGCCGCCCTTTGCGGCCCCGTCGCTGCCTCTGCCGGCCCCGTCGCCACCCTTCGTGGCCCCGTCGCCGCCTCTACCGGCCCCGTCACCGCCTCTACCGGCCCCTTCACCGCTGAGCTGCCCAGCAGCTGAGCAGCCGAGCCACCAAGCCTTCGAGCCGCCGAGCCGCCCAGCAGCCGAGCCGCCCAACAGCCGAGCCGCCGTGCCGCCCAGCAGCCGAGCCGCCGAGCCGCCCAGCAGTCGAGCCGCCGAGCCGCCCTGCCGTCGAGCCGCTACTGTCTCTGCCGAGCCGCAGCCACCGCGGTTACGGCCCTGTTCCTACCGGCGCGCCCCGGCCCTACTTACTCGGACTGGTGAGATCACTCCCTGCTAGACCACTGCTGTCATGGCTACTCCCAATGTCCATACCCTTTGATGCTGAGGGTCGTGCTGTTGACTTTGAGGTCTGGGTCGATGATCTCTAGCTGTTCCTACAGTGCGATAGGGCAGACGGCCTCTCCCTGTTCGATCTCACCTCTGGTGCCTCTCCTGCCCCGCCTACTGATGCTGACAGCACTGTTCGCTCACAGTGGGCCACACGCGATGCTGCTGCCTCTCTTGCTGTGCGTCGCCACTTACCGACCACTGAGCGTGCGCACTTTAGTCAGTACAAGAGTGCTAAGACCTTGTACGACGCTGTAGTTGCACGCTACTCTTCCCCTGCCACTGCTGCTCTTAGCCGCCTCATGCTGCCGTACCTGTTCCCTGACCTTGCTGCCTTTCCCATAGTCGCTGACCTCATTACGCACCTTCGCACTAGTGACACTCCCTACCGCGCTGCGCTTCCTGCTGAGTTCTGTGCCAAGAACCACCCCCCCATGTACATCACCCTCTACTACATAGTCACCCGGCTCCCTGACTCCCTTCGTTTAGTCAGGGACCACTTCCTCTCAGTTTGCCCCACCACTCTCACCGTTGACCTCCTCGAGGAGCGCCTCCTAGCGATAGAGAAGAGCATAGTCGCTGTAGGAGCCTCTCGTGGTGACCTTCGCACCCCCGTCTTTGAGGGGTGTTCCCCCTCCCCCCTTTTGCCCTCTGTTGCTTCTGCTGCTCTGGCTGACCTCGTTGGCATCGAGTCGGTCGCGCCGCGTCTGCCCCTAGCGGGAGACGCCGCACCAACAAGGGCAAGGGGGGCAAGGCCGCTGGAGGGGCTGGCGGGGGCGGTGGAGGTGGTGGTGGAGGCAGTGGAGAGGGTGGGGGAGGTGGTGGGAGTGGTGGCGGGGGTGGAGGTGTCAGTGGCAGCAGTGGAGGCGGAGGAGGCGGCGGCGGTGGCGGAGGGAGCAGAGGCGGCGGAGGTGGCGGAGGCGGTGGAGGTGGCGGAGGCGGCGGCGGCAGCGGTGGAGCTGGTCGCGGCTCTGCGCAGAGGAGTGGTTCCGGTGGTGGTCCGTGCCAGCAGCAGCAACGCGCTCGTGAGACCCCGTCCCCTCAGCAGCTTCGTCAGTGGTACGATGCGCGTCAGCGAGGTGGGGGTACTGGTCCCTGCACCTACGTCCCCAGCAGCTTCGTGAGTGGTACGCTACTTGGGGTTGTCGGGGTGGCCGTAGTGGGAGTCGTCCTGGGGTGAGTAGTTCGGCAGCTACTTGTAGTGGCCAGGTGCAGCTGCAGCGTCGTCCGTGCGCGGTCCTTTCGCCCCAGCAGCTTCGTGAGTGGTACGCTCAGCGTGGTGGGTCACGGGGTACTGCTCGCTGTCCGTACGTCATTCGCACTGGTGCTCGGACTGGTCAGCCTTGCGGGACGTTTGGTCACACAGAGTTCCGCTGCTTCGCCCGTCTGAGCGACGCCTGGCATACGGAGTTTGGCGACGCGGCTGAGCTCCCCGACTGGGTGGAGCTGCTTAGGCTGCGGGTAGATATCTATACACTTGACTATGATGCTATCCTCACTGCCATGTATGCATTGCCTACTAGTGATGAGGGTGACTGTTACCTGTGTGTTCCGCCTGACCCGGGCATTGAGGCTGCTGCTCTAGGTGCTGGTGAGGCTGCTGCTCTAGGTGCTAGTGCGTCTACTGCCCCAGATGCTCGTGAGTCTGCTCTCTCAAGTACCACATCGGCGCAGGCCTTCCACACCTTCACCCTTGACTCGGGTGCTTCCCGCTCCTTCTTTCGAGACCGCACCACGCTTACGCCCCTTAGTCGGCCAGTTGCGGTCTCCCTGGCGGACCCCTCTGGGGGTCCTATTCTTGCCCACTTCTCCACTGTCTTACCGTGTCCGGCGGCCCCCTCTGGCACCCTGTCTGGTCTCTACTTCCCCTCGTTCTCTACGAACTTGGTGAGTGGTGCTGATCTGCAGGATGGGGGGGTTGACCAGTTCACTCCTGCGAGTCAGCGGGTGACCCACTGTACGTGTGCTCGGACGGGCCGACACTTGGCCACGTTTACCCGTCAGCCGGGGTCGAGCCTGTACACACTAACTACGGAGTCTCCTCCGGTTGCTGAGTCTCTTCAGGTAGCTGCGTCGGGTCAGGTGTTTGCTGCCGCGTCCAGGTCTGGTCCTGAGTCTGCTCCCTGCTCGTGTCATCTCCTGTCCCACCAGACTCTCCTCTGGCACCACCGCCTTGGTCACCCCTCCCTGCCTCGTCTTCGAGGCATGGCCTCCCGTTACCTTGTCTCTGGTCTCCCCCGGTCCCTCCCTCTCCTCCCTCCGGGTCCTGCCCCTACCTGCGTTCCCTGCGTCGAAGGGCGGCAGCGCGCCGCCCCTCACTCCTCCAAGTTTCCTCCGATAGAGGCTCCACTGCAGACTCTTCACATGGACGTGTGGGGCCCCGCCCGCGTCCGTGGCTAGGGTCACGAGCGTTACTTCCTGTTGGTGGTTGACGACTACTCACGTTACACCACGGTCTTCCCCTTACGCAGAAAGGGTGACGTCACTGAGGTGTTGATCGACTGGATCCGCGCGGCTCGTCTCCAGCTCAGAGAGAGTTCCGGCTCGGACTTTCCTGTTCTGTGTCTGCACTCTGACAGAGGCGGGGAGTTTCCTCTGCCCGTCTGGGAGCCTTCTGTCGTGCACAGGGCATCCGCCAAACTTGAGGGGACCGGAAGTGCTTCGCAGCGACCATGTGGAGCCGTTCCCTGAGGGGCTATTCGACCGCACGTACTAGGCGCACTGTAGGTGGGTGTGTGCCACCATGGGATGCCAGCGCGTTCCACCACGTTCCACCTTGATGCATTGCTCTGTGTGCATCGATGGGTCACAAGTTGGTGGGTGAACAGGTTTGTGGGTGGGCGGAGTGCGGGTAGTTGTATGCTGAAAATCTCAACCTCACTCGACTTTATTCACCCTGAATCTCCAACCCGGCAATACAAGGTTTCAAAATATTAGCTTTGGCACTTTCCAACCAGCCCATTTCTCCATGTGACGACTTTTGAGGCGCCTCAGAAGTTTTCTCCATGTGTCTTTTCTCTTCCGTTGCACATCTGCGCTTAGATTTCTTAGTTGAAGCAATTTCACTCTCCGTGTCTCCCTTTCACTCCCCATCCGCAATCAGTTTTGCAGATGCATACCCGTCTTTCTCCTCTCCCCATTCGCCCTCAGTTTCGAGGGCGCATACCCCAAGTGGGACCTGGTTTACGCACCCATGCTTCTTTGGCTGCTGGTGCTGCTGGTGGCGCTGCTGCTTTCAACAATGATTGCAGTGATGGCATGGAAGAAAAGGCATATGGAGGAGGGCGTTAGGGAGATGGAGCCGTGCACAGCAGTGCTGGAGAAAGCAGAGCACAGCAAGAGCGTCATTGTGGCTAACCTGTCTCACGAGCTGTGCACACCAATCATCGGCATGATAGGTGGGAGCTCACATTCGTTCTCTTCCGTTCGCCTTCGTTCGCCTTCGTGCAGTTGGCAGATTGGCACCTGTTTGTCTGCCTGCTTTCTAGGTGACTATTGAATCGACTCGGGAGTCCTCAGAATGATATGTTCGTGCGTTTGTTTGCTTTCACAATTTTTGCTTGTTGCATTTGCAGAGACTCGCGCAATGTGCGCTTCGGCGCAACATTGTACGCGATTGGCACTCCTTGTCTGTCTGCTTTCTTGCCCCCTTCGTTGTCCACTCTAGGAAGTGTGTGTTCATGGCCTTGCCTCCTGTTTTTTCCAAGCTAGTTCCCAATGACAACAGCCCCCATGCTTTCGCTCTCTGAAAACTTGCTTCACAGGGATGATAGAGATGCTGCTAGAGTCGCCACTGGAGGAGTGGCAGGCGACGGACCTAAGGGATGTGAAGGAGTGCGTGCATGTGTCTTCGGATTGTCTCTGCTCCATGCCGCCTACAAGAACCTTTTCTTTGTCTCTCTTTCAAACCTCACCTCATAGGGATGATAGAGATGCTGCTAGAGTCGCCACTGGAGGAGTGGCAGGCATCGGACCTAAGGGACGCGGGGGAGTGTGCGCGGGAGATGGTTGACCTCATCAACCGCGTGCTCGACCTCGCCAAACTGCAGGCCGGCCCCCTGCAGCTCGAGGGTCTGCCGCTCTGCCTGCCTCGCGTGGCTCAGCATGCCGTCGCCCTCGCTGCTCAAGACCCGTGCGCCAGGGGGTTGCAAGGTGCGAGAGACACTTTATGGATAGGGGTTGAAAGGTATGTGTTGTTTTGGCCCAAGGGATTGAGAGGTATGAAAGTTTTTTGCACAAAGGTACGAGTGTTATCCCACAAAGCTACGACTTATATTGTTTGATGTGGACCTTCAAATGTTGTAATATCATTTCTACCATTCATAACATGGAAGTCATGATGTATTTAGCATAACATATTCTCTATGTCGTCTCTGAGATGTAGTGTCTTGCCATGTGGATCCAAGCTTGCCGGATGTGCTGATGGGCGATCCAACGCGACTGGCTCAAGTCGTGGGCGAAATCACGTGTGAGTGGAGGTGACGGTAAGTGGAGGCAACATGTGAATGGATGTGACATGTGAATGGAGGAGAGGGTCGTTACTCGTACCACCAGGTAGCGGGTCAGGAAGGTAGCGGGAGGTAGGGAGTGGACTCATCAAAAGCCACGTCCCGAGGGTGTTATGGGCGTATTCACGGGCTACTCAATAAGCCCTTTTATTCTAGTGGTGTGATGGCTGGGATTCTGACATGGTATTAGAGCGAAAGTTTCGGGTTCGAATCTCATGTGGCACATGCTGACGTGGCGCCCATGTGTCGCTGTCGCTGTGCTGTGTCCTGGTGCATTCTAGTGAAGGGGGTGTCAGAAGACCTGCACTGGGAATCCTCGATTGATCTTAGGGAAGGGTTACAGGTTCATAGCCTGAAGGGTTATGGGCGCACTCATGCACTACTTAACAAGCCCTGTTACCCTAGTAGTATAGTGGCTTAGATTCTGACAGCAAGTTCCCCCTGTGGCAGGTTTTACTCACTTGCTCACTTCTTCCTGCTCCCATTTACCTCTCCACGTCCGTACGTCTTGCAGCGCATGCAGCAAGCAACACTCTAGTGGGCGACGTCACCTTCCATGTGTGGTGTGCCGCCCCTCCTCTCCAGCAAGGCCCTCATGCAACCTCTTCTCAACCCACCACCCCTTGCCTCACCACCTCTCGTCCCACCACCCCTCCTCCAACCACCTCTCGTCCCACCACCCCTTGCCTCACCACCTCTCGTCCCACCACCCCTCCTCCAACCACCTCTCGTCCCACCACCCCTTGCCTCACCACCTCTCGTCCCACCACCCCTCCTCCAACCACCTCTCGTCCCACCACCCCTTGCCTCACCACCTCTCGTCCCACCACCCCTCCTCCAACCACCTCTCGTCCCACCACCCCTTGCCTCACCACCTCTCGTCCCACCACCCCTCCTCCAACCACCTCTCGTCCCACCACCCCTTGCCTCACCACCTCTCGTCCCACCACCCCTCCTCCAACCACCTCTCGTCCCACCACCCCTTGCCTCACCACCTCTCGTCCCACCACCCCTCCTCCAACCACCTCTCGTCCCACCACCCCTTGCCTCACCACCTCTCGTCCCACCATCCCTCCTCCAACCACCTCTCGTCCCACCACCCCCCAATCGTCCTCCTCTCGTCCTGCCACCCCTCGTTTCCAATGCTCCAGCACACCACTTTCATCCCTTCCTCCTAAACCCACCTCGTGGCAACCTCCCCCCGCCCTCAAAATATCTCAAGCCCCTCAAAACTCTCGCACCCATCTCACCCCACCAGCCTCACCAGCCCCTCAAACTCCTCGCACCCCTCCATTTTCTCCAGCCCCTGCTGCCCTGCACTCTTCTCGCTCCCCCCCAGTCGCTCGCACCCCTCCATTATCTCCAGCCCCTGCGGCTCTGCACGCCCCCACAGCCTGGCAGCAGCAGGCAGCGTGTGTGCGGAGCTTTCCCCCAGACACCCGCCTGGTGTGCACCCTTCAGCACCTCTCAGCACCCTTGGGAAGTCTCTCCGCCCAAGCAGAAATTCAGGGTGAAAGGCTGTTGGCAGGGTTGGGAGGGCTGGGAGGGGCGGGATGGCTGGCAGCGTTGGGCCTGTCAAAAGAGTGGGGAGGGGGGAGAGGTGGAAGGGAAACGTG